GCTGCGCCCTCCCAAGCGGGTCTGAGACCTGCCCGAGGCCTCGGCCCGGCACAGCCAGCTGCGAAGCCGCCTCCCAGCTCCGAGTCTCGCCCCACTCCGCCCCGCGGGGGACGGCTGGGATCCACGAGGCGCACAGGAGGGTGACCGGCCGGGTCCTCGGTGCCGGGGGCCAGGACACGCTGGGCTGGGCCCTGCGCGCTGCGTGGCGGCTACTCGGCTGCTGAGTTCACAGTGCAGAACACATGCATGCATCCTTCATTTTCTGTATTACATTTATTTGCATTTTTGTTCTTAACCCTCCAAACACACATATAAAACCCAAACATCTCAGCATTTGGAAGAGCCATCGGCTGCTTTAGGGTCCCCAAAAGCCGCGCCGAGCAGTGGTTTTTCAGGGGCTGGTGGTGGTATTTGCAGGAAACACTGCAGCGACCACCATGTTTTCCAGTTGATTCTGCTTTCCAGCTTCCATGGACATAACTCTTTTGCTGAATGAAAACGCTGTGCGTGGGGTGGGGTAATGCGGGCTGCTCTCACCGCCTGGGCCCAGAGAAACAGGCCTCCCCCAGGATCCGGGAAGAGCCCCCAGGGCCCCAGGGGAGCATCGTACCCGGGCGTGGGCCCAGTGCACCTGCACTCCCAAACGCTCTGCGTGGGCCAGGCGGAGGCGCTTACAGACCCAGCAGAGGTTGGGGCTGGCACTGAAGAAGGAGCATGGATGAAAATGACCCGCAGGATCTAAGCGGGAGTGGTCGGGCCTCTGGCCCGGCTCAAACGGCAGGAGGGAAAAGCAGAAGCAAAAGGTAAATGCGAAGGGCCAGGGAAGGGCCTGGATCTAGCGGGTGACGTGGCCTGGACCCACTTTTCCGGGCCGGCCTTGCTGGGCTGTGATCAGCAGTCAGGGAGCCGTGTTTTCTTAATGGAAAAAAAAAAAAAAATCCCAAGCAATGCTGGGTGTCGTGCAAGCTGAGTTTAATGGCGACCGGGGCGCCCGTCCGGGGTGGGGCGCGGCCTTGCTACACCGCCTTCCTCTGCAGGAGCTGGTCCAGGAGCTGCTGGAGAAGCGGGAGCAGGCGCGTCAGCCCGCGCCGCCGCCCGCGCCCCCCGCCCGCCTCACCTTCTTGAAGATCTCGGTGCGCAGCCGGTTGCTCTGCAGCAGCACCCTTTTCTTCTGCTCCTCCTTCTTCTTCCGCACTTCGGGCAGGTTATCGTAGATTCTGAAACGGAGTCAGACCCCGTGTGCAGGGGAGCCGCGGCCCTGCTCGTCGGCCTCCGCGGAGCCACAGGGCCCGGGCCAGGGCTGGACCCCTGGCCACTGCAGGCGGGCTGGGCTGCCGGGCGGCCCTGCAGGCACCGCGCGGGCCGACTGCTGCTGGGGAAAATGCCCCACTCCTCCGCGCGGTCAGGAGCTGCCGGCCTGTAACACCGGCCCCTGCCTGGCCACTCCGACTGTAGACTCGTCCCTGGTTTCTCCCAGCCAGTCTGGCCTTCCTGTGGCCAGCGGCAAAGAGCAGGAGTGGGCGGTGCGGAGAGCGTCACCCGAGGGCGCGCCCCTGCCCGCGCCGACTCTGAGCTGTTCCCGGCGCCACAGACAGCACTTTCTGCTCTGGACTTGGCGTCGGTTCGGGCTTCGGCCGCAAGCAGGGCCAAGGGCCTCCCTGGGCCTCTCTGTCCTCACAGGTCCCCGGGACCCGTGCTGGCGACAGGGGTTCGGCGGTCTGGGCCAGGGTGCTGCGCACCGACCGGCACAGGCCTCAGATGTCTCGTCGGCGTTTGCACTCAGGTGGAGCCTGGCCAGCATGGACGTGTCCCGCTGCGGGAATAGTCACCACAGAGCAGGCGCCTGTTGGCACAGGTTAGCAGGCGCCATCCGCTGGGTCCAGGACACTGGGCTGACCGCCTGGCACGAAGACCTCACTGACCCGTGGCTGGAGGAGGCGGAGTGTCCAGGTCCCATGCCCCTGGCAGCAAGGGGCCTCGTGGCCTGCTCGGCCCCACATGCAGCACCCAGCACGTGGGTGACGGACCCGTGGCACTGGGGACGTGCCTGGCACTCTGTGGGCGCCACGGCTATGTGAGCACCAGCGCAGGCTGCCGTGTTCAGGGGTGAGTCAAGAAGGGGC